TGGCTCAGTGGATAAAGTGTTGGCCTGAAGCCTGAAGGGTCCCAGTCAAGGTTATGTATCTTGGTTGCAAGCTTGATCCTTGGCCCTGCTTAGGCAACCAACATGTCTCGCTACCTCTCCCCCTCCATTCCACTCTCTAAATATCAATGGAAGAATATCCTTGGGTGAGAATTAACAACAACAACAAAGAGCATTACTGTTAGGATTTTTTTGGAAAAAAAAAAAAAAAAGCTTTGTGGATTTAAAATGTTTTGGAGAAATATGTGGAAATTTTAGGTATTTTTTAGTTGGTTTTTTTTGTTGTTGTTGTTTTATTACTAGAGGCCCCATGTACAGATTCATGCAACTAAAAGGAGATTAATTAGAAGAAATATTTTATAGGCCGGGGAGGGACTGTGGGAGGTTGGCTCCAGGGCATGTCTGGCCTGTCTCACCCAGTCCTGATCACCGGATCCCAGCAGCAGGCTAACCTACTGGTCAGAGTATCTGATCCCTGTCATAACAACCGAATAGTCAGACACTAGCATATTAGGCTTTTATATATATATAGATAACATATGTCACTCCTGTTTGTTTTTCCTTTTTATTGAATTTATTAACAAAATTATATAGGCTTTAGTGGCACAATTCCACAACACATTATCTGTACATTGTATTGTCTGTTCACCACCCCAAGTCAAGTCTCCTTCCAATACCATTTATCCCCCTGGCATCACCACACGTTTATCCATATCCATGAGTTTTTTTCTCTTCTTGTTTTTTTCTCAGTCTTTCCCACCTCCTCTCCCCCCACCCCCGCCCCAACACCCAGCCCTCATTCAACTTACTCTCCTGCTCCTCTCTCTATATGAATCTGTCTCTGTTTTGCTTGTTAGTTCATTTTGTTCATTAGTTTCCACATATGAGTGAAATCATATGGTACCTCTCTTTCTCTAACTGGTTCTCTTTTTTTTATGATTTCAAGGTCCTTTTGTGTGTTTACTATCTCTTTATTGTAGTTCTCACTGAGCTCATTCATTTTCTCCTAGGTTTCTTGAGCATCTTTACAGCCATTGTTTTGAATTCTACATGTGGTAGATCACTTGCCTCCATTTCTTTTCGTGTTTTTTTTTCTCATGTTCTTTCATTTGGGGCATGTTTCTTTGGCTCCCCATTTTGGCTGTCTCTCTGTATTTGTTTCTGTGTATTACATAGATCTGCTGTGCCTCCCAGTCTTGGTATGGTGGCCTTTTTCAGTAGGTATTTTGTGGGGCTTGGTGACACACTCTCCTTTGTCACCTGAGCTAAGGTGCTTCAGGCATGTCTCTTGTTTGGCTTATGTGAGCCTTCTTGTTGTATTTGAGTCTTGAGTGCTATTGGCCTGTCTTGATGGTGTTGATTCTCTGTCTAGCTGACTAGGAGAATCAATCTTGACCATAGTGTACAAGTTGCTGTCTGGGGGCTAACCCCACAAAACACACAATTCACCCCAGCTGGGTATGGTGCCTGCTGACCTCTCCCTTCGGTTGTGCCACTTATGGACTAATTTGGTCATGCTCTGATGGGGCCTGAAGCCTGTCACCTGATGTGCTAGTTCTGGGGCCTCTTGTGAGGGACTCTAGTGCAGATCAATGTCAGGCGCTGCCTGTGACCAGCCCTGGGTTACCAGTTTGGAGCTCCAAAGCAATTCAGTTTGTGGCTGCCTCTTTGAGGCCTGGGTACATGGTAGGGGCCAAGCTGTGTTTTAAGCCTGGCTTCTACCAGCACCAAGCCTAGGGGCAGGTGAGTAAAAGGCTCAAGACACACCTCTGCCTCTTGGTTACCTACCAGGTTCAGTCACTGAAAATGCCTCTGGTAGTATTCGAATTGTGTCAGGTAGGTTCTTAGTGAATCACCAGGTAGGGGCAAGTAGGATTCATCGAGTTTCTAGGTTTGAGGCCATTCAACAAAAGCCTCAGTGTACACCAAGGCCAACCACCACCTGCCTGGGAGCAGCAGATCTGTGTGGTGGGTGGAGTCCCAGGGAGTCGCGAGGGTGACCACAGCAGAATTCATCAGATGAACCCAGACCAAGATATGGGTGTGTGGAGGGAGGGCTCTGCACAGGGTCGGTGGTGACTCTGGTCAGCGTGTGAGGGAAACATAGCCCTTGCCCTAGAGTCACACAACTCCATCCTTCCCTGTTGTCTTCTCCACCCCTCGAATGTGCTCAGATCTTCTTGAGAGTTTCCCAAAGAAGTCTGTGCTGCTGCCAGACTGACCACAGACAGCCAGCTCCTGTGCGGGCATGAGCTCAGCCGTGTAGAGCCACAGGAAGTCAGGTGGGTGAGGCTAGTGCACTCCCCAGGCTGACAGCATGGAGAACAGTGGACCCAGGAAAGATAGTGTCTGTGGATGATGTCAGGAGGGATTTAGGACAGCTGTCCCTTTAGCTCTCTTCACTAAGGCACACAACCCAGTGTCCCCCTGGATGACTCCAGTCCTCTCTGATCCATCTTCCTTCTACCGGAACCCACAGTGAGTGGCCATGAATGTGATTTTTTTCTCTGGCTCTTTAACAGGGTGCCCGGGTTTCTAGCAAACTGCTGTCTCTCCCTGGTGGTCCGAATCGCCACTGATTTTCACAGCCACATCTTATTTGGGCTCGTCTTCCTGGCTCAGGTGCTCTGGGCTGGGGATCCCACTATGGGGTTGAGAACCCTTGCTCTTAAGGAAGGATCTTTGCAACTAAGAGATCCCTCCAGACTTTTATCTGCCCCCTGTTGGGTGTGGGGACAGCCCTTTTCACATCTCAGCCCTTCCTACCAGTCTCTTCTGCAAATCCTTGATTATAAGGCTTATCTTCCACTGGTCTTCAGTGGGTTTTTCAGGATGATTGTTCTATGATTTGTTGTAATTCCGAGTCAGTCCTGGGAGGAGGTGAGTAGTTTCCATCTACTTCACTGCCCTTATCTCAGCTGAATATCGTCAGTTACCTGTGTTTCTCTGTAGATAATGGTTTGCAGTCAAGCAGCTCCTGATTTTTTTTGTTGCCCACTTAATTTTTAACCTATGACTCAGTATTGAATTCCAGGTGTGATCTCACCAGGCAGGTACAGAATGACTGTTGTCCCTTTATCTGGGTTTATCTATCAATGTGGCCCCAGATTATAGTAATATTGTAACTGAAGTTGGCACTAGTATAGCACATAGCTATATTCATCATAATAGCTATCACACTATTAACTAAAAGTATATATTCATGCCAAATAAAAACCTTAAGCATTTTTCTCATGATCATCCATTAATATGTTCTACCATCCAGCCTGCTACCACATTTATGGCATTTTGGGGTCTACATGCAGGACTTTCTGTTTGTCTCACATACTCCTCATGGTTTTGGTTTTTGTCTTGTCTTGACAAACAGTTATGGCTGACTGCAGTTGGATGAGGCAGAATGAGAGGAACTGAGAGTTAGAATTAGACCCACTAAACAAAAGGAGGGAAGGGCTGACGAGTTGTATAATCAAGACCCACATCCTAAGAGGAAGTTGCATCCCTATAATATGATGTTCAGCGAGGATGCAGGGAGAAAGTGGTGCTCCAGTCCGGCAGTTAAAATCAGTGTCGTGGGTGCCCTAACAAGTGGGAGAGCAAGAAGGTATGGGGCTGAGAATCAGACAATAAGGAGTATGTTGGAACTGACCAGCAAAAGAGAGCACACTGATTAACAGACAACAGAGCGTTTGTAATGGAATTCTGGGCTTCGAGGCAGAATGCCAGTCTCTAGGGGGACAGATGAGCTCAAAAAAGGCTTCCTTGGGGGTGCTACCAGTACTAGGATATCTAGAAAGAGAAACTCAGACCTAGGAAAGATGCTAAGACTTCAGATTCAAGAAACTACAAGAAAAGCCCATGAACATAGGTTAGAACTGAACCACCAGCAAGAGATAACCATGCCTGCTATGGTTTTTCTTCTTCTTTTTTCTTGCCAAATGCACTATTAGGTTCAAAATGTCCTTTTATCTCTCTTGCTCGGTGCCCTCTTATAGAAGGTCTGGATTTTACTAATTAACAATTTTTAAAAGTGATTTAAAAATATTTTTAAATGACTTAATGTTTTATGTAATGCCTCCTTCTGAACTTTTCATAAACCATTTATATAAGGAACATCGAGTACTTTTAAAGAAACTGAAAAATCCACCTTGTTTTTCTGATGGCAAAGATAATTTAAGAATAGATTATGCCCTTCGTCATTTATCCTATTGTATTTTGGCATGGAAACGTTAAACATGAGAGTCTCTGTAGTAGAATATTGCTCTAACTGGATTTGTATTCCCAATCCTTTTTTAAGCCATTACTATTGTTTGTCAGCTTTTAAGTCCTCTGAGTTGGACATGAATTTTAGTTACATCACAAGAGTTGGGGGGGCGGGGGGAGACTAAAGGGAGGAGAGGAACGAATGCATTAAATTACATTTTGTTTTGAACATAGAATTGGCAGATCCCTCTAGGATTTTCAAAAGGGGTAATTTTATAAGACAGTGCTTGCTCAAAAGAGGTTCTTCTTAGTAACTGAAACACAACTCTTAGGCTAAAGCCAGTGCTCCAGGCGTGGGGGACAGGGCGTGGAACAAAGCTTACTCAAGCCGTTTTTGGGAGGTTGTAAAGTGTAGCTAGGAACAAGTAGCATAAGAACAAGTTGTCCCAGTGTTGATTGAAGAAAATCCGGTTTTTAATAGCTCAGCATGGAGTCAAAATGCAGGAGGAAATGAGACTGTTGCTTCACATCCTGCCCCCAGTTCGGTTATCACCAAACAGTATCTCACCTTCGGCGCTTTAAAGTGGACATGACCTAATGAAACCAGGTGACTTCTGTATTCCCTGGTCAGTCCTGCCTTCAAGGGTTTGCCCCTGAACTGAATCCTACGTAGGATATGTGTATATGAACGTTAGCAATTAAATGCTCATTTTGGATACTTTTAGCTCAGCCCTTTTTATTTTTCTCTTCCAGTTTCTGTATTCCTCCTCCAAGGGAAAGTCATGATCACACTAACGGAGCTAAAATGTTTAGCAGACGCCCAGTCATCTTATCACATCCTAAAACCCTGGTGGGACGTCTTCTGGTATTACATCACCCTGGTCATGCTGCTGGTGGCCGTGCTGGCGGGCGCGCTGCAGCTGACGCAGAGCCGGGTTCTGTGCTGTCTTCCGTGTAAGGTGGAATTCGACAATCACTGCACCGTGCCCTGGCACCTCCTCAGAGCCAGCGCGAACGCGTCCTCCGACCTTGGGCCGCCGCTTCCGCTCCCGCTCCGAATCCAGAACGACCTCCACCGCCAGCAGTACTCCTACATCGACGCCGTCTGCTACGAGAAGCAGCTCCACTGGTTCGCCAAGTTCTTCCCCTACCTGGTGCTCTTGCACACGCTCATCTTCGCAGCCTGCAGCAACTTTTGGCTTCACTACCCCAGCACGAGCTCCAGGCTCGAGCACTTTGTGGCCATCCTGCACAAGTGCTTCGACTCCCCGTGGACCACCCGCGCCCTTTCGGAAACGGTGGCCGAGCAGTCGGTGAGGCCGCTGACGCTCTCCAAGTCCAAGGCTCTGCTTTCATCCTCAGGGTGTTCGGCCGACGTGGATACCAATAAGCAGTCACTGCCCTACCCGCAGCCCGGCATGGAGTCGGCTGGCATAGAAAGCCCGACCTCCAGCGTCCTGGACAAGAAGGAGGGCGAGCAGGCCAAGGCCATCTTTGAAAAGGTGAAAAGGTTCCGCATGCACGTGGAGCAGAAGGATATCATTTACAGAGTGTATCTGAAGCAGATAATAGTCAAAGTCATCTTGTTTGTCTTCATCATTAGCTACGTTCCATATTTTTTAACCTACATCACTCTTGAAATCGACTGTTCCGTTGACGTGCAGGCTTTCACGGGATATAAGCGTTACCAGTGCGTCTACTCCTTGGCAGAAATATTTAAGGTCCTGGCTTCCTTCTATGTCATTCTGGTTATACTTTATGGCTTCACCTCCTCCTACAGCTTGTGGTGGATGCTGAGGAGCTCCCTCAAGCAATATTCCTTTGAGGCGTTGAGAGAGAAAAGCAACTACAGCGACATACCGGATGTCAAGAACGACTTTGCCTTCATCCTCCATCTGGCTGACCAGTACGATCCTCTTTATTCCAAACGCTTCTCCATATTCCTGTCGGAGGTCAGCGAGAACAAACTGAAGCAGATCAACCTCAATAACGAGTGGACGGTGGAGAAACTGAAAAGTAAGCTGGTGAAGAACGCCCAGGACAAGGTCGAACTGCATCTCTTCATGCTGAACGGTCTTCCAGACAATGTGTTTGAGCTGACTGAAATCGAAGTGCTCAGCCTGGAGCTGATTCCTGAGGTCAAGCTGCCCTCCACCGTGTCCCAGCTGGTCAACCTCAAGGAGCTCCATGTGTACCATTCGTCTCTGGTGGTAGACCATCCCGCCCTGGCCTTCCTAGAGGAGAATTTAAAAGTTCTCCGCCTGAAATTTACTGAAATGGGGAAAATTCCACGCTGGGTATTTCACCTGAAGAATCTCAAGGAACTGTATCTGTCGGGCTGTGTCCTCCCTGAGCAGCTGAGCACCATGCAATTGGAGGGCTTTCAGGACTTAAAAAACCTGAGGACCCTCTACTTGAAGAGCAACCTGCCCCGGATCCCACAAGTCATCACAGACCTCCTGCCTTTCCTGCAGAAACTGTCCCTCAATAATGAGGGAAGCAAACTGGTTGTGCTGAACAACCTGAAAAAAATGGTCAATCTGAAAAGCCTAGAGCTGCTCAGCTGTGACCTTGAACGCATTCCACACTCCATTTTCAGCCTGAACAATCTGCATGAGTTAGACCTAAAAGAAAACAACCTTAAAACTGTGGAGGAGATCATCAGCTTTCAGCATCTCCAGAACCTTTCTTGCTTAAAATTGTGGCACAATAACATTGCTTATATTCCTGCCCAAATTGGGGCATTATCTAATCTAGAGCAGCTGTCTTTGGACCATAATAATATTGAGAATCTACCCCTGCAGCTTTTTCTATGCACTAAACTACATTATCTGGATCTAAGCTATAACCACCTGACCTTCATTCCAGAAGAAATCCAATATTTGAGTAATTTGCAGTACTTTGCTGTGACCAACAACAATGTAAGTAAATTTCTTCTCTTTATTTAGTCATTTGAGTGTCTGCTGTTGCAGTGTGTAATGCAGATAGAGAAAATGGACATTAAATCACACTAAGCATCCTCTGAGAACAGCCTGACCAGCACTTCTAGACATGTGGCCGTGGACAAATTACCAAAACACTGAGCAGCAGTTTTTAAGCTAACTTGCAAGTGTCAGGGAGATTTTTATGAAAAACTGTATAAGCACTCAGCACAGTTCCTTATATGTAGTAGTTGCTCAACATGTTTTCTTTATTCTCTTTTTCTATATTTTACATAATTAGGTATATTTATTTATAAATATGTTTCTTTATTCTCTTTTTCTATATTTTACTAATTAGGTATAGCAGAAATTACTTTTCATTTTGGAAAGGTCTTAACTACTTAGAAAAATTTCATAAAGCTTTTCAGCGCTCTGTCACAGGAGCAGAAGTTTTTGGTGAATATGCTGTGAGCATGAGTTATTCATAAATCTTTTTTTGTGATGCGGTAAGGCAGATTTGAAATCTACGTGCATGTCTAGAAAGGCAGCGTGAAATGAAAGGCCTGGTTCCGTAATGCAACACTAGGGCTTCTTGGAAGCTTTTTCCAGCACCCATGCTTTACAATGAACCATAATTTGCAACAGTAAAGCCAAGTTAAGGAAAACTTAACATCTCTGAAACAAGAAAAAACAAAATAAATGACTAGTTTCCTAGGTTGAAATGTGAAGGAGGAGGAAAAAGAAAAGAAAAAAATCTATGCTAGCCAAACGCGGCAAGAAAGTGATGGTCATGTCCAAAAGAGGGAGGCGGGGAAACCTGGAACTCAGGTCTGCCAGGAGAGGAAAGGGGTCTTCCTCTAGTGGGAAATGGGAGCTATTTTCTTGTATCCCACTCACAAGTGCGTTATCTCTTAGACCTTTTATCATTCATATCTCATGCTAAATATAGCTGTGATCATGGTGTTGGCTAATAAACATATTAATCACCTGGTATTATATTTGAAAACCATGGATTGCCAGAGGAATACCAGAAAGTTAGGGAGTGAGGGCAAAATTCATGGCACAAAATTCATTCGCAGTTTAATGAGGGCTCTGATTTTTAGAACACTTAAAACTTTACACGTTTGTAAAAGGCTAGAGCCCATTCTTAGATAAGAAATCTTCAGGTCTTAAAGGAAAAGGAGATTTTAAAACTCTTTAGGCTTCACTTAGATTAATAGTGCTTCACTTAAGGATTACCTGCAGGGCTTGTGCTCCACTCCGGGGTTCCCATTTCAGTAGGTCTGGTGTAGGATCCAAGCATTGGCCGTTTTAAAATGTCCCAGGTGAAGTTGATACTGTTAATTTTGTGACCATACTTTGAAGTCTATGGCTCTAGAGATTTATCATTAGTGTTGTTAAATTATGCAATTAACTAATATTAATATTAATAGAACAAGCAAAAGACTTCTCATCTTTCCCAAAAAAGCTGTCCAAAGATTGAATGAACAATTAAGAAGGGAGAGGTGATTTTCTTATTAATAAAACTGTCTAGATATAGATTATCAGTCTCTTGGTAGGAAGGTTGTTAAAGGGAATTAGAGATTCAGGCTTCATGTGGAATTTAATTTTAAGGTTCCTTCTAATCTTGATATCCTCATGATATATATAAAAATTAGAAAATAGCCCTAGCCAATTTGGCTCAGTGGATAGAGCATTGGCCTGCAGACCAAAGAGTCCTGGGTTTGATTCCAATTAAGGGCACATGCCTGGGTTGCTGAGTTGATCCCCAGTGGGGGCATGCAAGAGGCAGCCAATCAATGATTCTCTCGCATCATTGATGTTCCTATCTTTCTCCCCCCTCCCTTCCTCTCTAAAGTCAATAAAAAATATGTATTTTTAAAAAATAAAATAATGTATCAAATTCGATGCTTAAGTATTTACATATGCATATACTCAGAAATGTGAGTTGATTCATGTATTTGGAATAAAAGTTGGTAAAGATTCCTGAGAGAAGTTTTAAAGATTCTTCTAAGGACTTAAAAAATGTATCATATTCATAAATGAGGCAATAAATACTAACTCTGGTGTTAAAGACCTCTTTTTTGAAAGAACATTGGGTAGCTAATATTATCACTGAAAAAGAATTAAACTTGGAAAACAAGCACCAAGTTAGTTAGATAGCAAAAAGCACCACAGCCAAAATCATAGTACAAAAGCAAAATGGTAGACATACTCTGCCACTGACCAACCCTGGGCACCAGGGCTGCCCCTGAAAACTCGATTCTACTGCCACTGCAGCCCTTGCCTTTCCACCAAATAGGTTCTTACTGAGTTCTGCTTCTTGGTGACACTACCCCAATTCAAAGTCCAAGTCTGAGCATTGACTGGTAGAGTTATGAATGCTCGTACTTGAGCACCAAGATAAGATAGGGAATTCTCTAGATAGCAAAGCTATCGGGCAGTTCCCCAAATGACAGACATTCAACAGGAGGGCACTCCAGAGTTTCTTCCACAGGATAGTAATGGGGGTAATCACAAAAGTATTCATCATTTCTTTTTATCATGCTTTTGCAGCAGGATACTTCAGAGTTTTAAAATATGAGTATGCATTACGCTTCCCTAAGAGGGAGGTATGGTGTGCAATGTTTGTCAAACTTACTTGAGCAAGACACTTTTTCATAGAAACGCTGAGTTTCGTGGAACATATCTTGAGAATGCTAGAGGCGGGAAATCTAAAAAAGTTAGAGATCACACACAAAGGATTGCAACAGATATGCCCAGATGTAATAAGAAGTGAGGACATTTAACGAAGTGGACAGAATGGAGAGTGCCTTGAGGTCTGCAAGTCAAGTTCATATTTGATTCATTGGAAAGTAGCTGTGGTGAGACTTGAGCTTGGAAGTTCTAGTTAGCTTGAATTGGTAGTTTCAAAGGTGACTCTGATTATAGTGCATAGAAGATTGGACCCTGGCCAGAAAGCTCAGATGGTTAGAGTGTCATCATAATACACCAAGGTTGTGAATTTGATCCCAGGTCAGGGAACATAAAAGAATTAACCACTGAATTCATAAATAAGTGAAACAATAAATCAGTGTTTCTCTCTCTCTCTCTGTCTCTCATTAATAAATAAAACTTTAAAAAAAAAATGAGTTGGGAAAGGACAGTGAAAAACAAAACCCCAAGAAAAGGTTTATTCAGTTATGATTTACAATTAGGAATACAGATCTAAAGGAAGAGACAAAGACTCATATCTGAAAGATATGGGAGCCAAATCTACCCACAGCCTGAGCTAAGAATGGTTTTCAGTTTTTTAAATGGTTGGTAAAACTCAAAAGAATAATGATATTTTGTCACACATAAAAATTATATGAAATTCAAATTTCAGTAGTTCATGAATAAATTCCATTGCTTTCATTTGTGGGCCTATATTAAAAAAAAATGTTCAATTGTTATTACCATATTTTGACTTTCATCACTTAAATCTGTATAAATCTTTTTCTCGTTATATAAGCAGCTACATAATTTTCAGTTTTGTCTCTTGGCCCACAAAACCTAAAATATTTACTATCCAGCTTCTGCTCTAGTTCACTGCCCTCCTTTTCCTGATACTGAACCTGAGGCTCCTAGTAATCTGAACTGAGGTCCGAAGCTACCTAGAGATGGAACCCAAGTGATTCAACCCCTATTCTAGAGCTCTTTCTAGTGCATCTTAGATCCAACTGGCGTTACTACGAACAGGGTGTGTGTGCAAGACAGGAGAGGAAGAGCAGCATCCATCTCTGTCCCTGTGCTAAAGTGTCATCGGATGCTCATCCATAAGCAACATGATGGAGAAGCACAAGGAAGGGAGCCAGGGGGGATTAATAGCTTCTCTCAAATCTTGTAAACATAGGTCTTCTGACTTCTACTTTTCTGCATTTAAAGCATTTCTTGTATTAACTTAAAGACATCTAGCCAAAAGGTGAACGATGTGGAAATTCCTCCTTATTTCACACATTAAAGTGATAGGATGTGGAAGGTCACTTATGTGGCAGGGCTTATTGTTTTAAAGTATTATCCTATCACTACTTAGAAATGAAGTCTTCAGCTTTGTTTCTTGAAATGATTAGAATTCTGAAGTAAGGCCCCACCTCTAGGAAACAGTGGAGTATTTCATTATCTACGTCAGCCATAGATATAGAATCACCCTCCTTCGGATGTCCTGGGGATATTCAACATTTTGTTGAAAATATTTGGTTGCTAGAGAATTCTAGGATATAGAGTGATATTGTAGCCATTGGTTTTGTTGTTCATTTTATAGTTTATTATATGTATATATTATAGTTTAGTCTATAAAACCTTTCTGTTTATGAACTTTATTACCTCTCTTTTTGAAAAGAAATAAGTGGTCCACCAAGATAGTTCTTTTCTTTCTGGTTCACGTATTATATAGTCTAAGAAAGAATATGCTAAATGAATTCAGTATAAATAAATGCTATACAAGATTTTTATAAATAAAATTCATTGGCCCAGTCAAAAAAATGTTTGGTGTTCTTGTAACTTTTGTGCAAACTATTTTTTAAAGGTGTAAATAGATTTTTCAAGCTGAGATTGCAGAGTTAAAGGGAGGTCTTGAGTCTCTAACATAGCTGCCCAGCCTCCTTTAGCAAAATCAAATCCTAGTAGATGAGTTAGGGCTTGTGCTTTCACGGGTGCTGATGCTGAGAAAAGGCCCGAGATGGACACTGGCTCTGGGGAAGTGGTTCCATAACCACAGCCCTGACTCACTGTCACGGCAGCAGCACAGACATGTTGACAGCCGGGCCTCAGCGGCTCACTTCCTTTGCCTTGTGAAATCCCTCTCCTGGAAGTCGCTAAAATCACAACATCTGAGATTTGAAAGAAGATTGCTGAAAACCTGATAGTGCTGACAGCCCAACAGGAGAGTGGGGGGCCAAATATTTTCAACAAAATGTTGAATATCCCCATGGCTTCAGGGTATCCACCCACTAGGCAGTCAGTTCAATGAGCAAGGTTCTTAATGGCATCTGAAAGCTGACCGAAGAAGTGAGGTGTGGGTCCCCAGATGCACCTCTGGTTAGGGCTCTCTTCTTCATACCACCCATTACGGACTATTTAGGTAATTGTTTAATATCTTTCTCTCCCATTAGACTACTCTTTCTCAAATGGGGACAACTTTGTCCCCCAAGAGATGTTTGCCTGGAGACATTGTTGGCTGTCACACCTGGGGATGGGAGTGGCACCAGCATCTAGCAGGTGGAAGCCAGGGATGCTGCTAAACATCTTACACTGTTTAGGGCACCCACCACACAAAGTATTATCCTATCCAAATGTCAACAGTGCAAGGTTAAGAAACCCTGCATTAGACTAAGATTCTTAAAGACACATCTGTCATACTCAGCACTTTATCCCCAACACCTAAGCACAAAAGGAGGCTCTCAGCACCCATTTACAACCTACGTATTGCTTAGGCACCAGCAGGCGCTATCCGGAGCATATTGCACAGGACTTAATGTTTCCTCTACCCATGTCTCACTGACTCCACTTCCAGCTGCCAGTGTCTTTGAAGGGGTGACATTTCTTCTGTCTCGTCTCTCTGTCATATCTCTGTGTTGAAATCTACATATGCATGGTGCTGCATTTGCATTCTTGAGAAGAGGTGGAAATAAAAAGGTAGATTTTTTTTCTTCGCTTGCACCTAGTATTTTGATGGACAGTGATGAGCTACAGTGAAAGCTGGTTTTAGTGACGGTGGCCATTAGGTTTATTATCAGCACTCTTTACTACTGAGTGTATGTGTGGGGGATGGAGGGAAAGTGCCAGCATAATGAGCGTTTATGAATATAGTATGGTAATTCTTTAGTTTGTACAGAACATGTTTATCCTTTTGCGGCTGTCCTCCTCCAGACTGCTCTTATCCTCCTTCTTTCTAACACAGCCACTTCCGGGACCAAGAGCCAATATGCCCTGTCCCCACCTGTATCAATATGTGGAATGTTGTAGAGTAGTGAGGTGTGTGCAGCCCAGCTCTGCTTGGCCCAAACTCACCCTCAGTGGCAGAGTGAGAGTTGAAGGCACTGGGCATGCTCCACTCTCCTGTGGACCTCTTTCCCCAACAAACCCTGTCTCATATACACCTGGTCGCTCTCGTAGAAATTCACACGCAGCCTACCCACCAGGTAGGGGAGCGGTTCCGTTGAGTGGCTCCAGGAGTTCACTTAATTGCAGGCTATTTATCATATTTTAAATTATTTCTCTGTGTAATTCATTTAATCGAACCAGCCAGAAAACAGGAAGAGGGGTAAAGAATATATTCGTGCGTATGTAGAGGGCAATGAAATATGTTATCACACGTATCTTGTCTCTGCTTCTGTCGACTTTTTTTTTTTTTTTTTAACAGAACAATGTTTTCAGTCTATACTGCGAGACCCTAAGGAAATAGCCTCATGTCTGTTCTCAGGATGTTTCTGAGGATGTTGCTTATTATATATGATAGTAAACTCTTCACAAGAACTCTTGAGAGCAATTTATTTCTGATCTAGGACTCAAGAAAAATTATGATTTTCCTGAGTTACTAGCTTGTCTCTCCCACCCCACCTCCACCCTTTGGGACAATGAGTATGTAACTGATTAGGTTTTCTCTGAGAATTGCTTATTAGAATGTTCGGAGCCAAATGTGTTGCCCACCCACGAGTAACAAGTATTTAAAAGTTTATGGTAGCCTCAATTCTGACGCCATGTTGGGATGTCCTTGTTTTTCCTTTATATTTTCCATCTGCTTGTTACATGTAAACATCAGAAATGTTTTTGGAAAAGGGTAGAGGTATACATAAGTAATTGTATTCTAACAGGCCATCAAAAACTGGTCTTACTGGCTTCTTTCTTTCCGTTTCCAGATTGAGATGCTACCAGATGGGCTGTTTCAGTGCAAAAAGCTGCAGTGTTTACTTTTGGGGAAAAATAGCCTGATGAGTCTGTCCCCTCTCGTGGGTGAGCTGTCGAACCTTACTCATCTGGAGCTCATTGGTAATTACCTGGAAACACTTCCTCCGGAACTGGAAGGGTGTCAGTCCCTAAAACGGAGCTGCCTGATTGTCGAGGAGAACTTGCTCAATACTCTTCCTCCCCCCGTCACAGAGCGCTTGCAGACGTGCTTAGATAAATGTTGACCTAAAGAGAAAACTAACAGTGTGCCCCAGGGCTTTAAATGAGAACTAAAATTTCCTAACTTATAAAGATTTTTTAAATGGGTAATAATTACGACTAACTATAATCAAATGTTTTATTAAAACCTCGCAGTGTCTAAGTAAACAGGTAAAAGGTGTTAACACTGAAATGAGTTTTGTGAATAATCGATCTTTTACTTATTGACTTGTAAGGGTGGAATGGGGGACATGAAATTATTGAATGTCCACCCTGCAGTTATTACCTTGAAGATGATTCTTTCCTCTCCCTCCCCAGCCCCATTACTTATTTGCACACTTGTTTTAACTGACGTCTTGTTTGGCTATTTATCAGCTAGACCATAAACTCATCAATATAAATGTCCTTGATATACACTTAACACTGTCTTTGATTTATGTTTTTAATTATTTTTAGGCAGGGTGTCTGGTGCTTGGCAGAATTTTTTCTTGGTTTTTTACTTACTGTGTCAGCTTGATTGAGTCTTCCTTCCTTCATCTGGTTTTCTCTTAACAATGATGAACCTGAGAAAGTGCCTGTTTTGGGCCTCTGCATAGGACAGGAGCAGGGTACTTAGGACGTGTCACCCTTGGGACATCCTGAAAATCCATGTATTCTCCAAGGTTTCTTCTTGTGCATCATCAAAGCTTTTTTTTTTTTTATTTGCTCGTGTTTATATTAAATGTAAAACTTAAATATTTTTATTGCATAATCTTGGATTCAAAATCTGTGGGAATCATTTTTGTAAGGTACAGAGAACACATGCATTTCTCTAAGAATTTACTATTAACATGCTTGGGGTTTTTTTTGCCTGCTTATGATTCTCATGTTTGTGTGCATTCTCCAAAATGTTTTTGTACTCTGCAACTAATTACTTCTGGGTAACAAAAAGCCTTGTGTTTCATGCCCTAAAATATGTAAGGGTTTCCTTATAAAAGGATGGCCACATCATCTACCTCTCTCTTCCCTTGTTGCTGTGCTATTATCGTACGGGTACAATTCTTACTAACTTCAGAAACTGTGATGGAGGGGAGAGGTAGAGATTTCAAATCTTTAAAACTGACTTCAACAAAATATCTTGTAGAAATTAAGAGTTAAACCAAAACGCTTTACTTTCTTCTCCATCTGCATGATCTGTAGATATGATTATAATGTAAAACACTCAGCCTCTATTCATTGTTTAAAATGAGTTCTCAGAGCTCACAAAGAAATAAACCCATTTAACTGGAATTCATCTCATGCCTCTGGTTGGTAACTTTTCTGGAATACAATTTGCTCTTTTTATATAAAGAGCTTTTGTGTTTGGCCTTTTACCGTGCGTATTGTTAACATGAAAATCAACGGACTCATTTTGGGTAAATGTTATATTTTTAATGTGTTTTTCTCTAGGCATTACGATGTCATCCAATTTTTGGTGTGACTATGAAGTAATTGATTAACCGCACCTAGTCAAAACTGGAAAACACTATGGGTAAAGAGTACCGTAAACATGGAGTTGGAATGTTTGCTGTTTTTCTTGCTTTGCCCATTCCAAAAAGGTGAAAGTGAGTCTTTATAACAAAATGTAACTTCCCTCTCCTGCCACACACACCTGGACTGAATCTCAGAGAAAGAATTGTTTGCGTCAAGTGAATTTGAATAATATTAGCTATAAAAATTATAAAACACCAAAGGCTGCCTAAACCTTATGGTTTATTCTGAATGAGAAGGAATGGTGTAAAAATGTAATTCTTACCAAAACTTGCCTTTAGTCAGAACATTCAAGTTCTCAGGGACCCAGGCATAACTGATGAAACTTTCTTCTAGGACTTAAGAAAACAGATTCTGACTATATCTAGAGTTCTTTTTCTCATTTTCCTATTTTTAATGTGAGTTGATGGTCATTTTCATATTTCACAATAGAATTGTCATGTGTGTGGATCTCGTGTTAGGTAGGATTATCTTAAGTTTTGGATGTGAACGAGATACATGAAGAGGTGTTTAAATGTTCTCAGAATCTTAAATGATTGGGGACAAATAATTAGCCATAATTTGTATGAAAATTTTCATCCTCTTTTCTAAAGAAGAGTTTTCAAAACAAATTTTAAATTGTTACCATTTTCCTGACAAACTAGTTCTCCCTGGCTAATCACTGGTTGTATTCACATGCAAAAGGCATTGGCTGAATCTTCCTTATCACCACTCTCAATTTCTGGAAGTAAGTTACTATCAGGATTAAGAGTGAATATTGTAAGCCTCTTTCCAAACATAAGGGCATAGTAACTGGTGCAAACTCTGTTCTCAATGCCATTAAAAAGTTCTCAGATTTCTTTTTTCATCCTTACACACCAGTGTTTAGGTAGTTTTTGAAATGACTTTGCACCAGTGCAATGAACTCTGAGACCACCACCTGACGTACAAAAGGGGTTTAATGCCACTTTTCCTACATGGTTGGAACAGATCATTTTACTTGTGTTCATATTCATTTAGGGGGAATTTAAGTGGAGAAAATGAAGTTGGTTCACTTAAATTTTGAGACTTTAGTTGGCATTTGATTTTCAAGACTGTACAGTACATTTTCCAAAAAATAAACATGGATGTTATTCAGAACAAAGTTAATGGCATTGGTTCATTTTATTTGCATGCACACACATAGACACACATAGCTACCTATATATGCAAAATGTAACATTAGTCTTGGATATGTTTAGTATTTGTTCCCAAAATTGCAAGAGGATATTTTTTATTTCTTGTAGTTACAGAGTGTTTTTTTTCTCTTAGTTGTATTTTTTTTTTTTAACTGTTCAACCTTAGTCTGAGAACCTAAGCAGTTTTAAGCATTTCTGGTAAGATATTTGTGTTCCTTTCCTAATCTACATCAGGGTACCTCTATGTGACACATAGATAGTGTGTTTTCACCCTCAGTCTTAATTTCCCCCTGGATGTCACCATATTTCACTGTTCCTTAACGCATGTTTGTGTGAAACAGGGTAGAGATCCTCAGAATCTCAGCACTGTGGCATACACAGCATGTGTGTGCTGTGGTGAACTGCAGTGAGCTATTTGCAGACCTTTGTTTGATGGTGAAAATATTTGTTTTTGTTCTTCAAGTGCTTCATGATGCAAATTTTATATGTTTAATTAAAACTGCATAATATTGATGGGTTCAGAGACTATTATAACAATTCTGTGGATTTATAGCTTTATTTCCTTGTATTTTCAATAAAATGCTCTTTCCATCTTTGTTCTCTTATCATTGTCCTATATACATAAGGTATTTTGTTATCTCCCTCCACTCACACTCAACTCCTTAAATTTGATCAGCACTTGTACAGTAACAGTATATTTGTGCTAGGGAGCTCGCAGTGATACCTGGTGAGAAGCCAGAGCCTAGAGTCATGCCCAGTTGAGTAGTTCTACTTTTCCCAACCCTGCAGTAGTTAGAGCTAATCCACTGGTTCCCCATCTCTCCCAAAAGCATGAGAATATAAGTGTAAGTCCGTTTTCAGAAGCTGTATAATGCATCAGAATCTGTGTTTATTTTTTCTGGAAACAAGAGGAAGGCTGATGGGAGAGGGGAGGAGTTATTTTGTACCCTTGTTTAAATTATGACGACACATACATGAAACTTGCAAAATGTCCTAAATATAGTTCTCATCTTCAGCCGGATATGAAAGCTGAAGCAGTGAAAAAACTGCAGTCCTATTTAATTGCTTTCTTCCTGTTTCTGGTCCATCACCTCTCTATCCACTTGGAACTATCTATTAAATTCCTTTGTTGGTAATGTACTACATTCTCTTAAACTTTTTTTTATTACATGAACAATTTCATCACCACAAAAGCATTAACATAGAAAATGTAAGCCAAAGCACTGAATTGAGATGGTTTCCAGTTGAACTTAATTATACTCAAGTTTTGCATTTGACTTGTATAATACACTACTGCTGAGAAAAACAATTATGAGTGCCTCCTGCATGTCATATATTATTATCAACAGAGATGGTGCAATTTAAAAAATACAAAGGAGCATAAAATTAGAATGGATGTCTCTGTGCATATGTGTGTTGTGTATAATACTAAATATGTTTATCAAATGTTTCACTTTCAGAAAAGTAGTGGGCCAATCTGAAGTAGAGCCATTTTCTTGTTAGCGCCCCAGTGAAGGGTAGCATTGCTTATTTTATCTTCGTCCCATATTTTGAAACATACATAATCAGCTTTTGCCTCTGGCGATAAATTATTAGAAAATGTAAGACTTTGGCTTGAGTTGAATGTTTTCAGCCCTCGGGTTTGCCATGAAAACCTGCATTTTGATGGTAAATCCCTTTGCCTGAGATCCATTAGTTTTGGTACACTTTACTGTTTTTAAAGTATGTTTTGTGTAAAAGGAAGATTCAACTTTTATAACAAATGGCAAATAAAAACAGATTAAAAGTTGAAAGAAGTTTACTGTACTGTTTCTTACCTGTGTCTGCCTGTCAGTGACCAGGTTCCCAAAGTGATTCCCTCCCTCCTTCCACACCTCCCTGTGCAGCCAGCTGTACGGTTACATAACTCACCAAATGATAATTTAAGGTTTACACATGAATCTCATAACAGTCGCATGAGTGTTCAAAATAAGCTACAATTGTCACAAAATAGCAAGCCCCTAAAAGAGCTGGATTGATCCTTGCATGCCCAGAGGGGCAGGGGAAGGTGGAACTTGTCACTCTCCTAAAAGGTGCATCTTTCCAACAGCGTGCCTCCTGGAGGACCTGAGGTCACCAGCCAACCCATCTCTGCCTCTCAGAAAAACACAATGAGCTGCAAGATGACATTTTCAGAAGGTTTTGTAAAGAGAGTAAAAACAGAATTATTGGGAAAAATAGACTCATAGTCATTTGACCTTTATGTTTGTTTTATTTTTAAATCATTATTTTGATATATCTCTCCCCCACCATCACCCCTCTATTCAGCTTACACACACACACACACACACACACACACACACACACACAGTCAGGAACAC